TTCTCCCTATTGTAAGTTTATGTACCATCAAAATGATTTTGAAACTCTTATTTTAAGGTATAACAACTACCTAGTGTTGCTTAATATGATGATTTCTTTAACTTCATGTGTATCTTTCCAGTTACTTTTGAATCCATAAAATTTGAGCAACACATTTTAAAGGGGCTATATTGGTTTCTTCCTGTATTATTGTTAACCTACTCAAATGAAAGCTAAGATGTGACACATTAATGTACTATCCATTGCTCAGACCCCTCGGAACACAAAAATGTGTAACTGTCCAAATACTCCTGGTCTTGACTGTGTAACTCTCACCTTACATCCTCCTCCGTGTCAGTGAACTTACCAGGTTATGATTTAAAATCATGTATACATCACAGCTCATACAGCAGAACACAGCTTTCCACTTTACAGCCCTGGTGCAGTTCTCCTGCCCTCACCCACTCACACACGAACATGCACCTCTCAGTAAATGTCAGACACCCCAGGTTTCATCTTCAGCCTCTGTTAGAAGCAGGGACTTTATATACTAGTCCATCTCCGTGACCATGCTCTTCTCAGAAACACTGGAAAGCCAATATCGCTGTCTATCTCTCTGCACTCTTTTTCGCAATCTGCGGTGTGCGATTATGGCAATTATGCTGCTTTGTCACAACACCGTAACCCAGCAGTAGAGAATAGAATACATAGAGCAAAAAGCAAGCAAGAGGGGGAAAATAACGACTTATGAAAAGCTTTTCTCTGGTAAAAGGCGGCGAAAGTCGATGTGTCCATTCACTGTTATGGAGGCTTTTAGTGCACTAACACCCCAAAGCTGCCACGGCTGGTTTTTACCTGAGTTAGCGCCTCACTTTCACCCATTGGTTGATCATGTCTTTCCTTCTCAATGAGATGATCCAAAGGTAAAATGGCTGCCTTGAGAACATTAAAGGAGAGAGAGATTAAGTTGGGCTGACTGGACTCAGGTACAGATGAGGTGGACACATCTGTTTTAACTGAGCTGAAGTTAGGCAGTGATTCGGGAAAACAGAGAGAGAGAGACAGAGGGGAAGAGAGAGAAAGAGAAGCAAAACTGTTGTGCTCCTCTCGGCCTGCGATTTGCAGTCCATCCACATTAGTTCTGATCACTGGCTGCCTGGAGGCTTTCTCTCTCTCTTCTTCCATCCCTCTCTCTCTCTCTCTTTCCCTCTCCTTGTTTACCACGTAGAGGTTGATTTATGTCGGCTGCACTTGGCAGAGTTGGGTGGCGTGGGCGAGAGCTACAGCAGCTGAAGGGGCGGGGTAGGGTGCGAGCAGGAGGGAGGAGAAGAAGGGGAAGCAAAACAAGTAAGGCCAAATCGAAGTGATGTATCAGGGGAGAGGAGAGAGAGAGAGAGAGAGAGAGATGAGCAGAGAGGAGGAGACAAGAATCTAAGGTTTGGATGGGAATAGTCAGTAAGGAGGGAGACGCTGCGGGATGGAGGGGTGGGGGTGTTGAGGAGACGTGCAGAGGTGCTGGACTGGCCTCAGGTGTCTTGCTCTGATTTGTATCTTTTATAATGCATCTTCATGTCAGAACACAAGGCCTCACGCTGCGTTCCCTTTCGCTCTATCGCTCCCACTTTGTGTTAACGTGAATGTTTGAGTCTTTTCCCTGACATTCATGGTTAGGGAAGCTTAGATTTGAGCTGATTACATCGCATTAGGTAAAACTTGAATGGTCTCTTTGGGAAATCAGGGCCATTGCAGCTGCAGTATGGAGAAAATGGGGGTTATGTTCACAATCCTGGTTTACAGCCTAAAGCTGTGAAGCTCACAGGCGGCTTTCTTCACCGAACTGTGAAGAAAGAACAGCAAAACACTGTATGATCGTGAGATAAAAGATATTTTGTAAAACATGATTATAAAGATGATTTTAAATATTTAAAAGATTGAAAAGATGATTGCAAGAGAGTGACCTTGGTCACATATGAGCAGGGTGAAACATCTACATTTACGAAAGTATAAAAATCTTTTTGTCTTTTAAGAAAGTAAAAAACTGAGAAAACTGAGAGATCAGTCATTAGCATGAAGTCGGCACTAACAATAGAAGAAGAATATTCTGAATTAAGACAAACCAAACAATGAAAAGTGTGGAATTTGAAACAAACCTTCTTGTATCCTGCAGAGCTCAAATGTGTTAATAATTCAGTCACAAGAGTCTACAGCTGCACTTGCACCTCCATGGTGATGTGAAGCAGGTATTAGTTAGCCATATTAAGAAGAAGAAGAAGATATACTTTATTGATCCCCCAAGGGGGACATTTTTTTTACACTCATTTTTAATTTTTTTATTTATACATGCAGTTTTTAACCCACAAACCCACACACAAACAAAGGGCTCATAGACATGCAAATATAGAGAGAGATGGTAGAGCACCCTGCGGGCAATTGGGGGGCGCTCAGCAGTGCCCAGAAGGTGAACTGGCTACCTCTCCAGCTACCAGTCCACCTGCCATACTTTTTAGTCCATGCTGGACTTGAACCGGCCACCCTTCGGTTCCCAAGCCAAATCTCTATGGTCTCTATACGCTGAGATTATTTTCATTTTAAAGTACTGGACACATAAGAATTTTGACCTGATGATGTCACAAAAGGTAATGTTAAGGGATCCCCAAAGTTATTCCAATTAATCCTGAGGGAGACAAATTGTCAGCCCAATGGTGTTGCAAGAGAAAGACTTCAAAAGATCACCAAAGTCTGTACAATCTCTACTCTGTAAAAACGTTGAGTGCCTGTACCAAAGTTAAAGGCAATTCATCAAACAGTTACCTTTGCCAGGCAGGTTGTATTTTTTACCCCTGTCTGTTTGTTTGTTTGTTTGTTTGTTTGTTTGTTGCTTTATTTGTTAGCAGTATTACGCAAAATGACTCACTGAATTAAAACTTGGTGAAAGGATGTGTTATGAGCAGGACCGCCACATGCACTTCTGCTGCTCTAAGCAAAGAATAAGTGTACCGCCCCTCTACTTGCAACATACCATAACAGTAACAACACACAAACACCTATATGCCATAAACATTAAAGGTCCAGTGTGTAAGATTTAGATGAAAGGGAACTATTGGCAGAAATTTAATGTAGAATAATCCTCATGATGTTTTCACTAGTTCATTTCATCTAAATTGTATGAATTGTAGTTTTCTTTACCCCAGAAAAGGTCCTTTATATTTAAATACTTTATATTTACATCGAGGGGACCCTCTCTACGGAGGCCGCCATGTTTTTTACATTAGTCCAGACTGGACAAACTAAACACCTTTTGAGTTTTTATGACAACTGAAGCTACCACAATTTCTTTTTCACTTTGGAAGGAGAGGGTGAGGTGAGGGGTGTTCAGCTGCAACATGTAATTTCACCACTAGATATCACAAAATTATACACACTGTGCCTTTAAGTGCTAGTGTACTAGATCACTAGTGCCATGCTAGTGTGCTCAAAGTGTCAACAGTAGGTGTGATGCAATTTTGTGGATCCGTATCATGAATCATGGCAGCATATTTAGCTATTTTCCAAATAATCCAATTTCTGCTCCTCAAACTAAATAATACCAGTGCAAATCTCTTCTATACACCACTTTCACATGTGCATCAAACACACATGCATGAAATGTGCACAAGCACATTTCATCAGCAACTTAAACCACAACTAGAGAGCAAAAGTGTACATCGCCTCCATCGCAGGAAAAATCTTGCATCCTCAATTTCAATTCTCTGTGCCAGTTCATGTTCTATGGAGATCGTTGCCAGTCCATTAAGTCTGTCTCGTTTCATTGTACTGCAGAGGTAGTTTTTTTTATCAGTTTGAACTGGGTTGTCCTGAAGTGCCTGAATCAGGAGTTTGAGAAGTACTCGTAATGCTATAAAAGCATTTGGAAAATCTGATTCTATCCCATTGTCACAGTTGAACATGAGTGTTTCTAGTGGTGTAGCTCCAGCTGCGAGACGCCTACTTGAAGCAGGCAACTCTACAAAAAGTTCTTGTCCATTAACATCTCTGGAGTTTCCATGTGTCAGGGCTTTGTCCAGTGCTATGCATTCTTGGAGAACGACTGTAGTGTTCTTCTCCTTGATGGACAGAATGTCAAACACCCCAAATATGTTGAGAAAACCACTCCTCCACAGTATTATAGTGGTCCAGTAGTCTGTTAAAGAAAAACACTTTGTAATCCTCTTGTGGATCAGCGGTAGTATTGCTAGCAGTCTCTTGGCTCAGTGTTTCATCATCCTTGCTAACACTCCTGGAATCAATATTTTTAACAATGAACCCCTCTGTTTTTGAAAATCTTGCTCCTTCAATAGTCACCTCTTTTTATATTGGGAGTGGGAGGCGGTGAAAGAGGCGGCTGCAGGTGCAGCCTGATTGACACTTTCCTCAGCAATTCACATTTCGCCGCCCTTGCCCGTGCCGCTTTAGGCAATTGCCTAGATTGCCTTTATGGACATGTCAGCATTGGGTATGGGTCAGAAAAGAACCCATTGAATTTTAGAGTAAATCCAGATCACGGATTTCTTTTCAGTTTTTCAACATTTGTGTGTAAATTTCGGTGCAGCGTGATTGAGGCATAGCTCTATCTGTCAGCGCCATTGTATTTTAGTAACTACTAAGGCACTCAATTTTAAAGAAAGTGGAAAATAATTCCTGCCCCTTGGTCCAGAGCCACACCTAAATTTGAAGGGTTCTTTCCCAAACCATACCACATTCTTCCACCAAGTTTCATGGAAATCCATTTTTGAGGAATCCTGCTTGTATAGAACAAACACACTAAGCACCAACTAACAAATGGGCAGGGGTGAAAACATAGCCTCATTGGTGGAGGTTACAAAGTGATGGATCAACTTACTCGCTAAAAGTCAAAAGGAAAAAAAGGCAGTTTAAAGAGATAATGAGGCAAAAGATAAGGATCCTGATGTTACACTTTGTGCTCATAAGAATACATCCTTTTGTGATGACCCACAGTTTTTTCTCCTATTCTCTTTTTGCAGCCGGTCAGTTGAGCCAGTCTGCTCATTTCTCCCTGCAGCTGCCCTACACTGTGCTGGGCCTCGGACGCAGCGCCAACTTCCTGGACCACCTTCTTGTTGGCATCCCTCGGCGGCCTGGAGAGAAGGTGAGAAAATATGAGAGGGTTTTATCACTTCCAACACTTCACAGCACTCCTGCAGAACTGCTACGGGCTGTACGGTCTTTAAATTTAAAGCATGTTCTTTCATAGAGGTGGCTGCATGCTTCAACAGAATAAGAAAAGGAAGGGCGGACTCTCAACCAAACTAAATAAACTCTGTCAACCCACTGGGCACAAGTTGCAACTAAATACGTATTTCCTAAAAACATATCTTAGAACATGTATCAGGCCAGTTTTCTCTTTTCAAATTAGAAATCCTGAACAGAGACAGCAGTGTTCCTCATCTTGCAAAAAGATATAGTGCTTTGTTGAAGTTGTTTTAATTTCAGTACCACTAATGCAGCAGAATATGTGTAAGTTATTAAATTAGGATAATGTGTTAAAAATATTTTATACTATAGATTAGAACATAACGAGTATTTGAGAATCATCTACTATTTTTACCAAAATGACTGATCATATTATATTTGCCAACACAATGCTAATCAGTTCTTCACTCTTCAGTTTTTCTATAGCAAGTCTTCCATTTGATTGCATAGTTTGGATCCTGCTAATTCTTTTTGACTATATTTTATTTTATAACCCCTTCCAACAATTTTAGTTTTCATCTGTGTTTGTTTGTCTGTCTGTTAGGTCTATAGGTCAGGGAAAACCCCATTGAATGTTGGTGCAGATCTGGCTCAGGGGGTGGATCCAGGATTGGGTTTTTTTACCCACTTTTAAAATGCCAGATTATTGAAAATTTTCATTAATTTTTTAAAGAATAATTCATGGCTCCTAATGTAAAAAATCTGGCATATTTAGGTGACTTATTTATTAGTTTTTGAAAAAAATCTGTATCTAGTGAATTTAAATGGGGACTGTTTCTAATTAGTTTTATTTTATAGTTTTACTTATTTGAATTTTCACAATAAGAGTCTTTATTATTAAGTAAACCCTGCTCAGTGGAGATAAGTATTTGTCAGGTGACAGCAGTCACTTTATAAACTTCACGTCCCATTCATACTGTATGGCGTGATTGATGATATTACTTGGGGAAATGTTAATGGTGCAGTGAGCTCCCTCACTGGAGCTGAAATACCAACACTCCCATATTATTCTTCTAACACATTATTAACAGGCCTGTGAGTATAGAGGATGTATGAATGACTCTTTGGATGGGGCCCGGTGTGTATGTGCCTTCTGTCATTCTACAAGCTTGCTGATATGAATCTAGTAAATAATAGATTGTTTTTATGGTTTTAATCTATTCGTCATTTCTACACTACACTTCCTCAAATGTCACCTCTCCTCAGCTCAGCACTCTCACTCTATCAGCATTCATCTCTTATGTTTCCCCCCCTCCCTCTCTCTCTCTCTCTCTCTCTCTCTCTCTCTCTCTCTCTCTCTCTCTCTCTCGTTGCACCTGTCACACTGAGTATTAGGCACGACTGGGCCCTTTTTTCTCCCGTGTGGTACGGATGTCTTCGTCAAGCAGCTGATTAGAATTGCAGATAGGTCGGTCCACGACTCAGACTGTAGTGCACAGAGAACACTCATCTCATACAAGCTGCTTTGTTGTCCCCTTTCCACACACTCCTGTTTTTCTATGCAAAGATATCTGATCTTTTTTCTCCCCTTCATTTTGCCTCCTCCTCGCCCATTCCTTCTACAAAGTGAATTAATGAATGCCTAAAGATGTGGTCCATTATGCAAAGTAGATTTTTTTTTACCCAGAGGGACTTGGGAAGTGGAGTCACTGCATCAGATCTACCTGTAATGAGGAGGAGAAGCTTTGGTGAGGTCTTTAAGAGAGAAGCGAAGGGTTCAAAATCCTGTCCGCCACAGCACCTGCTCAGTAGGCAGGTTTCTGTTTGTCAACTCTCTTTATCTCTTTCTCTCGCTTTTGTTTTATGTCTCTGTCTTTTTTCTGTCCTGCTCTCATTCTCTCACTTTCCTCCCCACTGTGCCCTTTACAATTTTCTCCTCCAAACTTAGAGTTCCTGCCTGCTGTTTCACAGAGGGAGAGGTTTTGTAAAGTATACTTGTAAATCTTCCATCTTCTGTCCAATCATTCCTCTCTCTTATTCAGCCTCTCTCCTCCTGTTCACTTATTTTCCACCCTGGGGATTCCCTTTGCTGCTCAAAGTGGTTTACTTCACTAATCAGTCCCCTACTTGTCACTCTCACTCTTTCTCTGTGTCTCGCTCACCCTCCATCTCTGCGTTTGTCTCCCTCGCTCTCTCATCACTGTGCCAGTTTCCCTGGCTTTGAACCAGACTCGCTCTTTTTCCCTCTGAAGACTTGGGAACACTTTTCTCTTCCAAACAGCCAGATCGGATCTGCTCCCAGGCAGCAGCGGTGCGGTCTGACTCGTCTCCAGCTCTGCTCCCCCGCCAGTTGCCGCACCGGCGGCAACGCTTTCCAAGAGCTAAGCGACAATGGCTGGCGGCAAAAATGTGCTTGTTATGTAAAAAGCAATGCTGTTGTTGCACGCTTATTCAAAATAGCTGCAAGATGTGGTTCCTCGCAATTGCCGGAGAGCGGAGAGCCACAATTAAAGAGCAGTGGCACTTCCACATTCTGCCAATTGTAGAACTGGAAATTAATGAATTCCTCTCAGCCAAGAGGATGATAACAGCTTTCAAATCACTGATATGATGCCCTGCCCCCTATTAATATCTCTTAACTGCTGTGAACTCTTGATGTGCCTCGGCACAGTCTCAGATAGAGAGGGGCAGCATCAAAACTCAAGTCAAAATTTGACTCAGGAAAATGTGATAAGAAAACAAACAGATGATGATAATGGGTTTTCCCAGATATCAAAGCACTGTACACAGAGGTTAAGTGCAGTCTGTGTCTTATATCGGTTATCACTGGATGCTGTACCTTGCGGCTGCAAAACTAAAAATGAAAGTTGAAAAATGAAACTGTTATCAAAGACAGTGCTGCAAGTTAAGTGAACTTATGGTGCTGTCTTCAAAGTCAGTAAAAGTCTTACAATTACTTACTTAATTAGATAGATAGATAAATAGACAGACTTTTATCATGTTTCATGAGTTTGTTATAGTGCAGGGACCATTCTAAACCTTCCTGTTTGGAATGGGCTGTTTACTTGGCCTGTGTTGACGCTGGTTGCATTGTTTCATACTGAAACTATAAAAGTGACCTGCAGTTATTGAGGCACAGCAAGTAAAGACCAGCTGCTAGACTCAGTCAACAAACCCTGAATGCGCTGATGTCATGTAAAACAAACTTTACTCAAAGTTTATTAAAATTAATCATATCACGTGTTCTTCCTTAGGCCCTTAACAATACACATGCCAAGTATAAGGATGATAAGCTGAACAGTTCTTGAAATATGTGAGCCACAAACATATATCGATTTCTGGAAATAGTATAGTTCCTGCAGCACTATTATCTTGGCTGTTGTGTTTATTTTCACTTTACTTTACAGTAGATTATCAATCCTCATATCATCTTTCACTTTTAATAACCTGTTTCCTCAGATGTGATTTTTTTGTGCCACGGTTCCTTGTTAGTTTTTGCTCATTTTTTTCACCCCGGTCTTATTAAATAATGCAATCAACTGGATTACACGTCACTCAATATTATTCTGATGGATGAAAATCAAGTTAGTCATTACTGGACAGCTTGAAAGAAATTGTTGTGACAGTAATTACCCTGAGTCACCTCAGAGTTTGTATTTGAAGACTGAGATAACGACTTGTTCTGCAGGACACTGAGCTCTCACACGCAGCCACAGAAATACTTCATCACACATGCAGATATACGCACCACAGCACACACACACACACACACACACACACACACGTCAGCGGAACGTAGTTGCTCCCCAAAGCAACATCCATTTATTTCAAGTGGCAGTTTGTCCGTGTCATAAACCTACAGCTTTAAATAGCCACTTCACGGTAGCTTAGAAAAACCATGGGACTCTATTACTCTGCCCCAGAGGACTTAACATACATATTGTGAGTGTGTGTCTGTGTGTGTGTGTGTGTGTCTTATGCGATCTGCACATGATTGCTTGTATTGTTACCATATTGTATCACTATGTATGTGCACACCAAGTTCATGGGTGTTCTCGATCTCTGCAGGACATAAGGATGCAGGAGTGGACGGCCATCATTCCCAACTCTCAGCTCATCGTCATCCCCTTCCCACACGACCAGCCCCGCAGGTACACACACACTCAAAGATATTACACAGTACAAATGAACCATACATGTGCCCATTTTCCTTGTTCACAGCAGAGTCAATTTATTCCAAGCGGACCTATTGATGGTTTTTGCCACTCATCTGATACCACTTAACCACATATTGAAGTTAATGTTACCTGGGCTCAATACAGATTTACTCTCTGCACATCATTACAAGACCGTTGCCTGAATGTGAGCTAGAAAATAATTCTCTCCCTTCTCTCTCACAAACACTGTCACACTATCACACTCTCTCATCACATACCATGTATTTTCATCTTCTCATTGTTCACATGTAGCCCAAACCCCAGGAGGAGCTCCAGATGGCTATTCAACACACACACACACACACACACACACACACACACACACACACACACATGCCTGTGCTCCCTCCTCCAGAGAGCCACATAGCACTTGTGTATTCGCCAATCTTGCCAGATTTGCCATCACACACACATGCGCCCACATACACACCACCATTACTGAAATGAGATCCAATGAAATAAAAAAAATGGTACATTGGTATTCGTCCTACATACACATATCTTTTGGCAGATGATATATGATGTATGATATATTTAATATATCAAAGTAGCTAAATTGCTGGAATCACAGTTCCCGGGAATCAGAAATAGAGCCGAGCTTTTGTTTAACTGTAAAGTGAAGATGTTCATTCATTTATTTTATCTTAATTAGGACACTATCTCTGCTAGTGCGTACCATTTGGTAATTACATTGTTTTTTCCTGCTACAAGAAAACTATGATGAAACTTGTTTTTTTTCCACACTCTCTCTCTCTCTTTAGTTGGAGCGCTAAACTGTACCTGACTCCTAGCAACAGTGTGCTGCTGACAGCCATCGCACTGATCGGAGTGTGTGTCTTCATCCTTGTCATTATTGGCATCCTGCATTGGAAAGAGAAGGTTAGGACACATTATGCACACACAGAGAGGTGTAGTTAACGCTGGCCTCTTCCTGATGATTAACCTCTTCGAAATGACGTGTGTGTGCGTGTGTGTGCGTGTGTGTGCGTGTGTGTGCGTGTGTGTGTGTGTGTGTGTGTGTGTGTGTGTTAGAGAGAGCAGATTAGTCACAACAAGCAGCAGATGGGTCTCGCTGTCCCCATCCTGTATTCCTCTCGCCTCCCATTGAGACACACATACATGCTTTCTCTCTCTCTCTCTCTTGCTCTTTCTCTCTCTTTCCCTTTCTCCATCTATCTGTCTCACTCTCCCCGGGCCACAACCTGGAAGGACGTTCAGCAGTAATTGCCTGCTTCTGTCCTTTCAGCATGGCAGATCTGCTGTTCATTACGGCCATAAATGCACCCCACAGGGAGCCTGTACAGGTTTTCACGCGTGTTCTGTGCTACGGCTTCACGCGGTACAGTCGCAGCAAAATGTACCCAGACATAGCGTGGTGGAAGACACACTGACACAAACATCACTTATCACTGATTTTTTTTTTTGTCTTGTTTTTCATCTACACACACTGTGGTAATGCTGGGCTGAGTGGTGCAGCAAGTCGCTGCCATCTTCTCCAAGCCATCTGCTGTGAGAGTGTGTGTGTGTCTACGCCCAGGACGGCATGTTACACACACAGAAGCACTCTAATTGTCCTCTTTCTGGGAAACAACCGTGAGCATCAGCTTCATCTAAACCAACTCTGCACGTAAAAAAAAAACATGGCTGGTGCCTGAACTCGGTGTCTAGATATAGACGAGTCAGCTCAGGTGGATGGGAGGAGAGATGAGTGTGGGGGGGTTAAGGCTGTGTGGAGCCTTTTGAGGGTAATGAGGGGAAGTAAAAGGAAAGTGAAAATAAAAAAGCTGTTCACTCGTATGGGCTGGTGTTATACTTCACTTGTGATCAAATCTGGCATGTTCACACGGATAAAATGAAGAGTTTGCAGCCACAAGGACATTTGGCTTTACAGTCCGAGTAGGTCCTTTAATCAAGTGTTTCTCCACACACAACAAAAACATTTTGTGTTTTTAGCTGTTTAGCTCTAGATGGCACTCTTACTGACCTCTATTAACAGCTGTCTGCATATGAATGTAGATAATTTAAAAAGCTAATAGCTGATATTATAAATGGGAAACAGAAGGTTTCCATCCCCTAAATCATGTCCCTTGCCTTCAGATTCTTCACATTCACATGCATAATCTATTGATAGTGATTATACAAAGTCATCTCTCGCTTTTTACTATGTTTGCAGCTCGTGCAACAGAAATATAGGCACCAGCAGAGCTTCATACCTGCCCAACACTTGTTTAGACGTTGAATTTATAGATTCACTATAATAATTCATTAAATATATCAAAGTGAATCTTTATTAAATGACAGAGAGGGAGGCTATCAGAACCCAAATCTAAAGACTAAATATGTACATTACAAAAAAGTGGTAGGGAGTAAACAGACAGACAGTCTGATTGAAAGCTTTTCCAATGCTTCACTATGACCCAGGTGGTTAAACCAGGAATTCATAAAAGGAGCAACGGAGGCCTTCCACTCACATTGAATTAGTTTGCAACCCAGCTAAACAACAATGTTTTATTTTATGCCTCAAAATGTTCAAACCATAATTACAGTAATGTAACATTGTTGTGTCTAAAACCATGCAACAGTGTTTATCTGCCCCCCAAAGGCCAGCAGTATGGTCCCTACCTGGTGTGGACTACCAGAGATAATATGCGACAGGACTGGGTTCAGACTGACACCTTTTGTTATTGCGATACATTTGGAGTATTGTAGCTTTAATAGGCAGCCATCTGTGCTGTGAGGATAATGTGGTGTGACCTCCTGCACCCTCCAGAGAATCAAAATTGAGGGTGAATCCTGTTAACCCGTCGCTAACGTCCTCCCTCATATCTCATCTTCTCCCACCTCTTCTACGGCAGGGCATCCAGCAAGGTCAGGGCAAGACCGCTGATTGACATTTGGTATTTCTGTGTGTTTGCGCTGGTATTTGCTCCTTTAATAACAAAGTCGTGTAGAGGGCAGAAGCATGTCCTGCCCTGCTCACAACTACAGCTAACCGTAGCTTCTGCACCGCTTCCATGACGGGATGGAATGGGACAGTACAGGAAAGGAAAGTTTGAAATAAATAACAGAAATATGTTATGATGTAGAATGTAATCTCCTCACTTGAGATGTTTCATCTTCATGCAGGCCAGATTTGACATTAGATCCCAGTGAGACTCCAGCATGACTCACTTTCCACCTGTTTTCCAGACACAGGGGCACCACTGCATCATTGAACCCTTCTGATTGACACAAATCAATGGCTCTGCAGCTTGATGATGAATCTGGCCGCAAGATGACAATTTTCTCGTATTCCCTTGATAGGCAATTAGATCAGGCTCCAACCTCAGAGCAGCCCAGTGGATTATTTATCCAAAGGAAAGAACATCGCATCAATCCGTCTGCTCCTTAAAACATGTTGCTCGCTTAAAAAAGAAAAAAATGCACAACATGAATCAGTATAATATGCTGGTAACTGGAACCTAACTGATGGGTTAAAAATGCAGTAAATTTGTTGCTGGCCATCTTCTGCAGGCAGCACATTATTCAACATCAGGGAAGGATTGACTGTCCTTTAAACGGAACAGTCATCTCAAAGTCTGTCAGCTGCACCGAGACTGGGTTCAGTCATTTTCAGTCAAAAACAAGATCTTTTTACTTCCAGTCACAGCTACAGTAAAGGTTTCAGATTAATTAGCAGAAGATGGTTAATAAACCAGAGATTGCAAACCTCCAGATTCAAGTCAGCAGTGTGGAAACAATATGGTTGTTTTGCTCATACAAAAAATAAAACACCAGACTGTGGATTTTAGTGAATTGTATTTCACTTTTATTCAGATACTTTAAAACTGATGTCTGCTTCTCTCTGTGCTCAATTCATTACTAATCTCATATAAGATATCTATTGTATATAAATGGTAGACAGCACTGTCACCAGTCTTTTTTAATGTACTTTAGTGCTGAAGTGCTGTCAAACAGTGACCTCTAAAAAAGTATGATAATGTGCTCCAGCCCTTTCATCCTGGGCCCCATCAAACCTCATTACACTGCACCACCATAAAAACATTGTCCGTCCTTTTCTGAGCCATTATGATCTCAAGAATTAAATCATTGTAAAATTGGTTTGTAGGTTTGGAGCCCAGCTAACATGGAACCTAACATTACCGTTCATGGCATTTTGTGATATGCAACAATCCCAGTAATTACTCTGTGCTATAATCACTAAATGACAAAAGAACTATAAATCTGAAACACGGCAGCATCCATATCTTCATGCCTTTAAGTTGTCTGAAGTCTCTTCATTGTTGTGTGATTGGCCACCATGACCACAGGGACAAATCCTTGCATCGTTCGGCTGGTGGACCATCTCAAAAGGTTTTAAGCTTTCTTCGATAATCACACAAAGTGTATTGGATCAGAATCACTGACTGTGCTTTTATTTGGGACTATTTGTACCTTTGTTGCAAATGTTCACACAGCCCCCACGACTGCTCTCTCCCTGTGTTCAGAAACAACTGTACATCATTTGTGCGCTGTGGGAATGTCCGAACTCTGTACTCTGAAATTACAAAATGTCTTTCTCAGGCCCTCGGTTCATGAAATGTTCTCAGTCTATAGAGGACAATGCCGGCTGTCAATTCAAAGATTAAAAAAACAGAAAGAATGAGAAATTGCTGCTGTTTCCTCACCACAGCAGGAATATTAGGAGCATGTGACGTGTGCGGGACCCTCGGGGAGGAGATGTTGTGGGGGGTGTGGCGGTCTATGCTGCAGTCTGTCAGCTTGTTCTCAGCTTAGCTGGGCACGGCTGCCTCCAGTCATCACACCTGTCTGTCCGTCTCCATGCCCACATGATGATAACAGCCTTTTGCCTATAAATACACTATATGACCACTTTTTATTCACGTATCCTCACATGGCCTTTTAATGTTTATGAGGACTTTGTGTCTTCATGTGCATGTGTGTGAGACAGAGAGAGAAAAAAGAAAAACGAAAGAAAGAAATTAGATTTCAGTCAATAATCAGACTCTTGTAATATATACTACAGCAGTGGATACATTAATTAAGCTCTAATTGCAACTAGATAAATATTTTACAAATTCACTCAGTCATCACAACTTAAGCCAAGCCCAGAAAACAGTCTCCTGTGTCAGCTGGTCCTTAAACAAACTGTCCCCTGAAGAGTCTCACAACGCAGCAGTAATTGGCATAAACCAACTGATGTAAAGAATGTAAAGAAACCTATTTGAAACCTTGTAAAAGGAAGCTCAAAGCCAAGTTATGGATTGTCAAAAATCTTGTAACTGTCAGAGATAGGAAGTGGCAGGTTCAGGTCCAGGATCAGTGACCACAAACTGCCCGTGGAACAAAGAAGACACAAAAAACCATGGCAACCAAAAGAGGTTGGAACATGTGATCACTGCTGAATACTAGCTACATGTGTTCTCTTGTTGTCGCTGGTCACTTTTTCCAAGGATCAAGTTCCATCTAATTTGACATGACAGGCAATCTGTTCATATGTACACCCCCCACCCTCCTTGAGGTTGAACACTTGCTCCTGCTCTACTCGGTCCACAACCCCTGCTTTTGTTCGTTTGGTCTTGGCTTCGCTTGCTAGCATCCTCCATTTTCATATCAAAACAACGTAATATTACTCGCTTACTTAACTGACTCAAGAGGTCATGGAGTAAGTCAAGCTGGTTGTGAGCACTCCTCCATACACTCTAGGCAAGAACCCCCCTTCAGTCTGAGAGAAAACCTACATATAGCACCTTTAATTTATTCTGTACTCGCTTCCCCCTGTGCCTTTTTCATTTTTAATTACTTATTAGTTGTTGTTGTTGTTGTTGAACAGGCCAATGGGACCTAAATACACTAATTTATCAGTGGGTCCATTAAATTTGAACAGTGTAACCATGTTTAATCAGTGAATATCACAGCAGGCCTCACCTGGCACAACTGGCTTTAACACTGAAGCTGTTGAAGTTATCTGAATGCATTCAGTGAGGTCGTGACTGTAGAATCCACTGATGTGGCTGAAAGGGATCACTGAAGGAAATATTGCAGCTTGTATGTCCCAACTAGAACTGTTTTCTCAGCTTGATCTTTAGGATTGTTACAGTATTCACACATTCACCAGATTCACATCTGATAATCGTATAGTCTGATGAAAATATATTAAACTTGTAGTCATATAATAGACATCGTTATTTAATGAAAAAGTAGAGACACTTAAAATATTTTTTTTTGCATATTTATTTCTGCACCTATTTCCATCTTTGATCCATATAGTTCCTGTGATTACAGGTGTTGGGGTCAACTCTCCAAAGTAAGCGACAAAACCAGTTAATATCAGTGACTGATAGGTTTCCACCATAGACTGTAAATAAGATGGACAACACGTCTTCACTTCCTCCCACTATCCAGAAATGAAGCCAAAATATCTGGGATAGGAAAGCTGCCATCTTGTTCATGTTCAGCCAGAGTCTGTGCAGTAGTGTTCAGGCAGAGGAGCATTGATAGCAAGATCCTGCTGTTACACATGCTCGACGGATCATTAGACACTCTCAGCTGTATAGCAGCTCATAGCATTAAAACCAGAAACCATCTTTGAGAATCTGACTTTTTCATTTGGTACATGTCCTATGCACTAACATGGAGGAGGCAGGATTTATAAATTATACTGTAGCCAAGCTCCAGATGGTTATTGAGACACTTTGAACTGTCATGTTGTTGATCTTTATATAGAGTCGGTGATTCACTCACACACTTGTCCAGCTCTGTCTTCTCTGCAGTAATAACAGTCTCCTTTGTTCGTATACTTGCAGGTGTCATTCCTAAACTCTTTCAGTTACACTGAGCCACACACGGTCATTCCTGCTCGCTGGTCATTATTGTATCTGTCTCCATGTTCGGAGGGTTTCTGGGTTTGAACCCTCCGGTGCCTGTTCTCCTTGTACCTGGGTAGGTTTCCTCTGGGTGCTCCAGGTCAGAGGGACTAGTGACTACATAGTGTAGGTGTGAATGTGAGCGGGAATGACTGCCTCCGTCATCTCTATGATTGACTGTAGAGCAGCCGAGGGTGTGCCCCTCCCGCCCATCAGCAGCTGGGATCGACTCCAGCTCTCTCACGTCACTGAAGGTTAAGCAGGGTATAGCCCCTTGTAATAAATGTTGGCCTGCTGGCCTGTGTGTTCTTATCACCGGCCCCTGGCGCTTTGTTGCCACACTCGTTTCATTTTCATTAAGGTTGTGGATGAATTTAGCCCATGAATGTGTTCCCTTTGTTTATTCCCTTAACAAGTGAAATTAACATTATCTGCTGAGACGTTACTGGATTATAATAATGTGTTTATCATTTCAGACTAAATTGAAGGGTTATCACAAGAGATTCAACTTTTATAAACTAAATACATTTCTCTCTCTCCCCTTTGTGTGTCCATCAGAAAGCAGATGACCGAGAGAAGAGACAGGAAGCCCACCGTTTCCATTTTGATGCCATGTGAAGTGCATCATGGGAGAACATCCTCTCCTGCACTCCTCCGCCCAGCCCCCACCCTCCTTCGCACACACACACACACACACATATTTTCACACAGGCTCATTTCAAGGGCCAAAAAATTGTTCCTCATTTGCACCAATTCATTTATTCATTCCAGTGTTAGCAGTACAGGAGCTGCAACAAGGCCATGGAAACACAGGAAGAAATCCTAATAGAGCTCACACACAAGTGTAAAGCAGGGGTGTCTTAGACTATTTTGACAAAATGACAGATTTCTGTTGAATTGCCCAACAAGTTATGAGCAATGTCACTTGAAACCCATGTGTGTGTTTCTGTCTCTTGTCTTTGTCCCGTTGTTTCCATTTGACTGAGGTGATGTAAAAAAAATCCTTCATTTTATTACCTGGGAAATGAAAGTGAACCGAGTTCTGTGATATCGATCTGAGTCTCGCAACTGCAGCAGCAGCTGGTGCAATGTGAACAAAAATGGACACGTGTTTTTTCTGCCACCAATCTCACCTAAAATGATGAATGGCCGTCAGGTTTGCTGAGAGAAAATTCATCTTTCTCACTCTTGATTGTATCACAGTGCATCATGGGAGTGCCAAAAAAGAGTTTCTGTATTGACTCCTGCAAATGTTTAATGCTACTGCACCGAGGCTCCGTGACGACTCGAACAACTGTTCCTGCAGCTTGTTTATTTTGTCATCATCTAAAAGTTAATCTGCTGTATATTTGTATTTATTTTACAAGAATGAACTCATGGCTTTCCATGTGATTTGCACTTTTTAAACTACTGATTAACAATGGCTGTTTGTAATTTATTTTGTTTTGTGGATTTTATTTGCCGGTGAATGTTGAAGCTACTAAATGTGTTGACTTACTTAGGTTGCTAATAAAGGTTTGTCCTGTTTAAATCGTCGTTGTGTCGGTTTAGTTTGTGCTTTATTAGACATTTTAATGTTGCTCGTGAAATAAACACATTAGACGCAGTAGGTCCCCAACCCTTAATTTACCACTTCACCCACTGGAACTCATTTCTAAGAACATTGTTTGTTTTGTAGAAGGGGAGCTAGAGGGGCATTTACACTCAAAATAATCATCTTGACACGCTCTCGTTATCTAAGTCTGAAGTGAGTGAAGCCGTGCAGAAATTAAACTGCCTTTTATTTTTCTAAGAGCCCCCTGGAGCCCCCTTTGAGAAACCCTCTGGTCCCAGCATCCCAGGAGCCACCCTGCTAATTAATACATGGGGGGGTTGACGTTCCCTTTATGGCCAATCAGAGAAAGATTTGGCAAACATCCCAACTGATGCAAATCATGGGCGATCATACATGTTACAGTAACATACACTTCTGATAGTCAGAGCTGTGTGCATCTGAGAGTTAGCTGGGAGAGAGAGAGAGAGAGAGAGAGACTTAAAGCAACGAGGGGGTGGAGCACCACAACCTGTGTTAAGCTGCACAGAGGAAGCACAAGCAGAACCAGAAACGAGGTAATTTGGCCTAAAAAATAAAAGCATGGAAACAAAACCCACACTACTGTTAAGATCCGTACAAATCAATTTAAAACTTCCAAACCAAACAAGCAGAGCAAAGATTGAAAATATTCATTCAATTATTCATAACTAAGTAGATTGTAGTTTCCAATGAGACCGATGTCCACATAACATCAGACATACATCCTCGTGGTTTCGGGGGATACGCTGACAGAACAGCTTCTTTCAATACAGTTTCACTGCTGACTTGAAAATGTTACAATAGAGGTTGAGTTGCATAACATTAGTATTGATTTGCAAGATATCTGTAATTAGGTGGAGCCACTGTACAAACGTAAGAGCAGTATTTAGCATCTACATCTTGAGCTGCAGTGCATATGTGTTATTCATTTTGTCTAAATGCACAAGCTAACACATCACTAACCATGCACGTATCCATGAGACGTACCCAAACAATGGGAATAGCACAAACCACTATAGAGCCTTGTGTTCCTTTCTCTTCCTTTATGTTTCACTTCTTGTAATTTAACGAGCTATGAGTTCGTGGCTACTGTTTTATTTTGAAAGGGAGGACCGGAACACAGATGTCCTCAGTGTGTCTGACTTGACCACCACTCACTGATGTCAGCAGCGCCCACGGCTTAAATGAGGCTGGTTCAGGAGTGTTTGTGAGTTTGGTCACAGACGGAGATCAGACGCTCTCCTCCTCTTCCTCCTCCTCCTCCCTCTCTCCTCATCATCTTCTCTGTACTCTCTCTCTTCATCCACCCTTCATCCACACGCGTCCTGTGGATACCTTCCTCTCCGAGTGCGCGTCAGGATCAGCCCGTCTCCACATGTCTCCACCTCCGCTGTGGTCCCTGTGTGTGCACTGGTGATGCCTGGCTGAAAGGCACTGCAGCAGCGTTCATCTTCCAGCCTTAACGCGAACTGAGCCGCGGAGCGTGAAGTGGCTCTGGTGCCGCCGCTGTCCTCCTGGAGCCTGGCTCTGCGTAATGGATTTACTGTTGGCGCAGAAAAGTTGGATTTAGTGAAGCGCTCCCTGAAATGGACAGAGGAGGAGGAGGTTGTTTCTAGAAAGAAGAAGGTGCTGCTGGGGTTGGATTCACACCGGGAGAGGAGATGATCAGAGGTGAGTGATAAGAAGCTGCAGAGGATCCGTGTGGTGCGCGTCAGGGTCCGGCGCTTTGGGCTGGAAGAGCCCACAGTTTATTATTCATTATCATAAACCTGGGAGTCATTGATCCATCAGTTGTTTTTGCATGTTCTCCTGTTGCTGCGGAGGATATTTCATCTGCAGCTGATTTAGATCAAACACATCGAACGTTGAGGCATGGATCCTCATTTTGATTTATTTCTATTAAACTGAGACCAAATGACGATCTACAGGTAAACATATGCAAAGTGTCTCCGATCAATGTCTACTTCCTCTCTCTTTAGCATCTACTTGCGTTCTTGTGACTTTTTATGGAAAATCTTGATTTGCTTGAGCCAACATGTGACATCGACATTAACCAGTGTATAATCCACCTCTTCAGTCCCAGTCTCTGCTGAGCCTCTTCTTCAGCAGAAACACACACAGGTTGGGTTTGAACAACCAGTCCGTCACTGTGAGGGCAGACACACACACTCGATCACAGATATTTCATGTGTCGACCACTTCAGAAGTGACTCGTTATTTCCTCTTCTAGTGAGAAAAGGAGGCAGGTTTGTGTCTAATGGACACTTAAGGTCCCACATGATGAGAAACCTGCACATGGGGTATAAACCATCAGGGACACGTGTTCTCAACCTTCTCTGAAGAAACTTTGTGGAGACTAAAGGAAGAAGAATATGGAGGATTTGCGGGGCCACGTTTTTAATTCTACATTTTAAATCACAGAGAAGTGTAAGTTCGGTGAATACAGGGTTAGTTACATTAATGACATTATGACATTATTAATTACATTAATCAGCGTCCAACTCGTTTCCATGAATCTGTCCAATCAGCGCGTGTCCGCTGTTCTGCGCGCGATACACTGCTGATCGCGCGCTCCGGCAAGTGTCTCGCTCCACCACACCTGAGGCACGCGCAGCTGCTGATGCGACAGCTCGTGCTGCTTTCATGGAAGAGTTCATGTAGCTGTAGGGTTTATACTGGTGTTATATACTGGTGTTATATACTGGTGTTTTATACTGGTGTTATATACTGGTGTTATATACTGGTGTTTTATACTGGTGTTATATACTGGTGTCATATACTGGTGTTATATACTGGTGAATATTCTGGTGTTATATACTGGTGTTATATACTGGTGTTATATACTGGTG